TTACTTCAAGAAATTTAGATTCCTTTACACTTCAAGAATTATTAGAACTGGAGATTTAAATTTCTTAAGAACATGAAGTAAGTGGGAGTATTTTGACTCTAGAATGGAGTTTTGAAATGGTAAGGATTCGTATTTGACTCCTTTGCATATGAAAAATTGATAGCTTTTCTCAAAATAATTATTTAATTATTTTAGATAAGCAATCAATTGAAAACTCCTTATCAAATAAACACATAAAGATAAATCCACTTTGAATCTACTGGTTGAGTTATCTTTGAGACAGTGGGAGGAAAAATGTTCTCTATAGAGAATTGAAGTTCTCTGGTTGTATACCTACAAGAGTTTAAGGATATATTGGGTAATGTTTTCATAAGGTACAAATGGAGAAATCTCCATATTCAGAAATAATGTCACAAATTACCACAAAATCTCTACCAAATTTTGAGAGATTTTATTTAGAGTAATTATGACTCTAGTAACTCACTATTAGAGTTACATTAGATAAATATGAAAACAAATGTCCTTAATGTGACTCTTGATAATTAGGTATACACATGTGTCACCATAATACATTTGTAGAGAATGCAATTTAAATTGTTTCTTCCCAATCGTATATTAATTTATTCTTCATTTGATCTTAGAAGAATTTTTCTAGTAAATTAATATACATTAAGGTTAGTGGGAGTAATACTATGAGAGTTTTTCTCAATCATGGTATTTGTGAAATCCTTCTATCATTGACATTCACAAAATAGAATGTAAAAGATAGTTAATCTATCTTAAGACATTCACGCAAGAGTTCTTTGATTACTTTTAAGTAATAATAGTGAACAATTGCATGCATTGGAATGAATATAAATGCACCAACGATGCTATGAAATTATACCACATACATCTACTATTTGGTATAAAGTTTATCGATATTATATTGTGGCCATTATAGATATTTGATTTGACTATACCCTTTCATTATGTATACATGAAAGAGTGGAAATCAAAATAGACAAGTCGACATAAGGTATTCAATAGTTATTTGAAAAGCAAAATGTAGCTATTGAGTATATAGTAAGGAGTTATTATTGTTAATCAAACAACTAAAGATTGCCGGCTGAGTTGTTAATGATCAAATAACTCACATGGAACTCAATAGTTCATTTCGTATTTTGCTATTATTCTCAAACTATTGTTATTGTCTAGACACTCGAGATATTTTATATTTACATGATTTTGTGCACATTGTTGTTCATGTATAAAGTAAGGATCATGTGATCCATAAAGTTGGACCCTGAATAACTTATATGAAGTTATTCATAAAGTTCTTTAAAGGCACTTGATTAGGAAGTATAATACATTGTAATACATGGAAGGAAGTGTTTGCCATGAGAGCATTACCGCCATGATTCATGTATTATTATTTTCTAATTAAGCAACTGTTACATAATTGCTGAATTTGATGAGTGACAAACAGGATTTATAGCCATTTTTTAAGCAGTTAGTCACTCATTAGTTATCTGACTATGGCATGTGGGTCAAGTGGGAGAATGTAAGACTTACCTCCTTTAGAGGCAAATTATGACCCACATGATTGATTGATATTCTAATTAATTGTCAATTAATTAGTATCTCCCATTTAGGCAATGATTGGTGATTGGTATCCTGATTAATTGATTGGCATTTTGTCAATAATTAATCAGTATATTTCATTTATTAGTGATTGATTGATATCTATTGTTAATTGATATCTTATTCAATCAGTTAATCAATCGAATCAATCAATTAGTCAGAAACTATTAATTTCAGTTATGAATTTTGGCAAGATTTCCTTAATGGAAGAAAACCCTAGGGATTTTTGTATTTGCCAGTAAGGGTCCCTAACCTAGCCTATAAATAGTTTTTGGTATTCCATCAATTGCACACTTTTGGGTTAGGCGTAGGCTAGAAGATCCTTATTCTAAATTCTCTTTCTACTTTTCCTTCTTCTACATATTTTGTATTGTTAGAATAGATAAGAAGGAGTCAAAGATACAAGAAGAGATCAATTGTGCTTGACAACAATGGTTAGAGGTAAGTATATTTAAATTTTCGCTGTGTAGTACATTCGCATGTGCATAGTTAGTTTAACATAAGTCTCTTAGCAAAAAGTTAGTCAACAGACCAGCTAAATTATTGTATGTTCTTACATATACAATATCATAATGCAATCTCTTAGCATTTGTCTAAGATACTCATGTTTTAGATTAATATGTCAAGATTTACTATTGTACACCTTTAAAACTTACATACTATAGTAGATATAACTAATGCTTTAAATTCTACATTTAAATCAAAAGGTACTCTTTAATAACTAATGCTTTAAAGCTTTGCACTTTAAGGTCTTTGTGGTTTTAGATTAATATGTCAAGATTTACTATTGTACCCCTTTAAAGCTTACATACTATAGTAGATATAACTAATGCTTTAAATTCTACATTTAAATCAAAAGGTACTCTTTAATAACTAATGCTTTAAAGCTTTGCACTTTAAGGCCTTTGTGATTTTATTTCTGAAGCTTTACAATTTTATTACATTCTCCAAAACCTTTCTGAAGCATTAGTTGCGGGATCAAGGACCATTGTATCTCCCTGTCTTCAACTTTCTCTCTAATGTTTTTCCTCCATAGGAGGATTGAGCCAACATTTCCCTTTCTTTTCCTTTGTTCTTATTTTTGTTTAATAAAGTCTCTCCTAGGATATATTAGTGAGAGTTTTCTTCTCTTCTAAACTAACTTAGTAAGAGTTTTGTTTTGTTTTTGTTATTTATTTTCTTAACTTTTAGAGTTTCTTCATATCTATATGTTAGATCCAAAATTTCTTGAGTCTTCTCATCAGATCTCAATATCAGTTTTGAACTCGAACCTGTTGGATAACAGATTTGAGGGAATAGATATACACAGATATCGATGGAGTGGTTCATTCAATTGGTCAGATTTGATGATTTGTGATTCACAGTGTAATTTTTTATATTTTGTAATTCTATTAAATTTAATAATTTTTCAGATCAAATATATCTATGACATATTCAATGTATTTTTTGACATTAGTGCAGATTAATTTATCAAGCAAATCGTGTTAGACGATTTTCAACTAATTTATTAATAATATTGACTTATATTTTATCAAAAAAAAGTTGCGGGACCGAAATAATCTCTGGTAAAACTAAAAAAAAAATTTTCAACGGGATTGATATGAAAGTATTGAAATTTGAAGGACAAAATGTGGTAAGATTGAAACCTAAGTAGACTATATTCAAACTATTTTAGGATGTGGCAGATTAAAACTAAAATCTATCTTTTAGTCTAATAATTTGGAAGTCATAAACTCCAGCAATTTAACTTCTAATGATCTTCATTATATTGAGAGTGGAGCCATGATACAATCAAATCAAACCCATGCAGAAATTTTCCTTTAATATACTCAAAGAATCATTGACTGAGTGCATAGGAATACTAAACACATGCACACTAGAATTGCCCATCATAAAAGTCTGTCACTCTTAATATTTTCTTTTTTTATTTACTGGTATAGTATGCTCTCTTATTTAATTTCTCATGGTTATTATATTATTTGAATATTAAGGGACCAATATTTAAATTAATCTAATAATCTAAAATCAATTAGAACAGTTAAATCTGTATTGTTTAATTATTTTAAATTAGTGGTAACTCGCATGACTGGATTTGTGTCAAGGAGACACGTTGGCTAATTTAAAATAACCTTTGTAGCATGTTATTTGGTTAGAATAGAATTTCTCTAATTCTTAAGGCAATTGATAAATTGAACTTTAAGGTTGTTCCTAGGGTTATTTCTTGATTAGGGTAGCGGTTAATGGTCGTACATTAATCATCAATACAGTAAGGAGAAATTGATTGTCATTGCTTATTTGATAGTTATAATTTGTTTGTCAGTGAGCAAATGAAATTATTATTACATCGATGATCAATTGAGTGAACAATTTTCGAAATTATTTCTTGACTAGAGTTTGTCTGTTATTATTTTAATTTTAATAAATTATCATTTAGTTTTTATTTATTCATTTTATTTGAGTTATTTAATTATTCTCAATTTTATAAAATCCCCTAAAATTTGAACTCTAAAAGAAACAAATTTTTTATTCAATCCCTATGGATTCGATCCAGCTCACCATTATATATAAAAATCAGTATTTTATTTGAGTAGATGTTTATTATTACACAGATTCGACATCTATCAAATTTTGGTACTATTGTCGAGGACTAGTGCCTTTTTGATTTATTTCCTATTGATTTTGATATTGATTTCCCTCTTTCTTCTTTTTTTTTAACTAGTTTATGGCTGTTAAAATTCAATATTTTGGTGATAGATTGGATTTTATTTCTATGAGGATTAATAAGGCTCATGTCTCTTCTAATGATCAACATTTCTGAAGCATTAGTTATATTTTAATAAAGGAAATTTAAAGTACTCTTTAAAGGTAAAATAATTCTACATTTATAGGATGTCAAAAGGTACTCTTTAAACTTTAAAGTGCAAAGCTTTAAAGCATTAATTCTACATTAGTTATAACTAAACTTTAAAGCATTAGTTATTTCCTTATTGATTCACTCTGATTGCAAAGCTGTTGTGGATAGAATCAATATAGGATGTCAAGGCCTAACCTCTTTGGATATGCTAATTGAAGACATCAGGCAACTTAGTTGATCTTTTTGGAAATGCTCCTTCTTTCATATTAGGAGAGAAATGAACCTATGTAGCCATGGGTTAGCTAAGTTAGCAATTAACTTGTTACAAGAAACTAGGTGGAAGCAATCCTTCCCTGTGTGGCTTAATAGAGAGCAGGGACGGAGCCAGAAATTTATTTTTGGGGGGGCTGAAGTGTATTAAAATTTTTTTTTGTGACGAAATAAATATATTTAATAAGTAAAATTTAGAATCAATAATTATAAAAATAATAAAAACATATAATTATACATACCCAAAAATTTGTTATTGATTAACACTTGAAGTATTGGTAGTTGTTGCACTCGAATAACGAAGAGGAGGCAATTGCATTCTGCGAGTCTTCATCCGTTGAAAACGCTGCAATATTTGCTCATTTTCAATTGTTGCAAAAATATCCTTCTCGATGTATACAACCAGACAGTCATTCATCCACTCGTCTCCCATTTTGTTGCGCAAATCAGTCTTGACAATAGTTATTGCAGAAAATACTCTTTCAACAGAAGCAGTCGCAACTGGTAGAACTAATGCCAACTGGATCAGACGATAAACCAATGGAAAAACTGTATTTTTACCAGTTTTAACCATTTGTTGAGTAAGACTTCCCAAATCTCCAACTTCTGAAAATTGAGGATCGCGTTACACATTATAAATATAATTTCGAAGTTGAGACTCAAGATATAAATAATCGTTACTTGAGAAGTCTTCAGGATATAAATCAGCAAGACGGAGTAGTTTCTGCACATTGAATTGAGAGAAAGAACTTTTTGGATCAAGACATGCTATGCAACTAAGCAATTCCGTGCTAACTTCCGAGAAACGATTATTCATCTCTTGTATAATTAAATCAACAACCTGACATCACAACAATAATAAAATTAATAACTAAGAAAATCTACTAACAAGTAACAAATGTAATGAAATAATAATTTCAAAAATAATACCTCACAAAAAATTTCCACGCGATAATGATGAAAATTAGTGATGGTTTGACCTCTGCGACTGCGCCTGGCATTGCCACGGATTGCTATACTGTCTTCCATATCAATCACGGGAATCATATTCAACTCACAAAAATTGTTGACTTCATCTAAAATTATTTGCCATCCCTCTTCCCTAAAGTCTTGCAATTGAGATTTCATAGTATCAATCAAACTCATGGCTTGGACAATATTTTGATCCCTTTGTTGCAAAACAAGTGACAAGTCATTTGTGATTCCCAATAAATACTTCATCAGGTGCAATGCAAAAACAAACTCATAATCATTCATTCTATCAATCAAACCCCTGGCCATACCTCTATTGTCAGAAGTGGTGGCATCATCTTGTATATTTCCCAATATTCCAATCACCGAAGCCCACATAGAGGATAGGCGAAGTAATGTTAGATAGTGTGATCCCCAACGAGTATCCCCTGGTCTTGCTAAACTAGTTTCTTGATTTTTGCCTTTTCCACTAATAATATCTCCACTGTCTAAAAGTGTAACAATCTTATCATGTTCTATTTGTCTTAATTGATCTCTCCTTTTACATGATGCTCCAGTTAAATTGACAATCATAGAGACATAGACAAAGAATTCACTGACAATGATATTTCCCTTAGCAACAGCAACAATAACTAACTGGAGTTGGTGAGCAAAACAGTGAATATACATCGCATAGGGATTTTCTTGTAATATAAGGGCCTTCAAACCATTGAACTCACCTCGCATATTTGAAGCTCCATCATATCTTTGACCTCTCAATTTGGATAATGATAATCCGTGTTGCGCGAATAAAGAATCAATTGCATCTTTCAAACAAAGAGATGTGGTGTCAGACACATGTACAATTGCAAGGAAACGTTCAATCACACGCCCTTCTTTGTTCACATATCTCAAAACAACTCCCATTTGCTCTTTCACTGAACTGTCTCGAGACTCATCAACTATTAGGGAAAAATAATTGTCTCCAATATCATTGATTATAACACTTGTGATCTCTGAGGCACAAGCATGTGCCAGATCTTTTTGAATCATTGGAGAAGTTAGTTGATTATTTGCAGGAGCATTTTGATTTACAACCTCAAAAATCTCAGTATTTCACTGGCTATACCACTCAAACAATTCAAGAAAATTGCCTCTATTTGAAGAACTAGTTGACTCAACATTTCCACGAAAAGCCAATCCTTGCTTCAAAAGAAAGCGGGTCACATCCAGAGCAGCAGTTAAACGGGTGCGATATGCAATATCTATTTCGCGCCCACAAGATCGTAGCACATTTGACACACTATGCCTTTGATCTTGAAAACTTTCAAACTGTATTCTAGCATCATTATGGCAACTATTCACAGCTCCAATATGTTCATTAAATCTTTCCATTGCCTTTTTCCAATTATTGAATCCCGTTTTTGTAAAGGCATCCTCTGCATATCGACCTCCCTTATTTTGTGTTTTGAAAAGAAAGCACCAAAAGCAAAACGCCGCATCTTTCGATATGCTATACTCTAACCATACAAACTTTTGATACCAACTATCTTGGAAACTTCTATGTTGTTTACCAAATGATGTTTTTGGATACATATGGCCAATCGGTTGGCAAGGTCCCCTAGTCAAATACTCTCTTCGGACATGGTCTCGAAGAGAAATATCAAATTTCTCAACTGATTTTCGTAATCCCGGATCACTAACAATATCATTTAAATTCAATTCCACACAAGATTGATTTTGAACTGGTTCACTAATATTAGGCTCATTTGAAGATTCACCACTACGAACTCGTTTAGGTTTAAAGAATCTCTCCATTTTCTGTCACAATTAAATAATTGTGGTTAAATTCAATAAAATTATGCAATTCAATAATCAATTTATTTAAAATTCATATAAATAATTCTTTAATTTAATAATAAATTCATATTACTTATATTTCTCAATTTATAAAATTCATTATATAAAATTATCAAAAAGTTAAAATAAGGTACAACTAAATACCCATATAATCTCTAATTCAATCTCATAAAATTTTGAATTTATATTTACATTCAAAATTTCTAATTCACATAATTAATTCTTAAAATTTCAAATATAAAACTAACAAAATTTTAAAAACTAAATACAACCTAAAATCTATACAATTTCTAAACTAATTTCTAATTTAAATTTAATATCATTAAATTTTTTAATGTAATCTTTCAAATTCTTAAATTACATTAACATAAACTAAATAAAAATTAATCTTAATCAAATTAATATCAAGATACTCAAAATTCAAAAATAATTTAAACATATAATTAACAAAAATATAAAGATGAATATTGTAATTTAAACCAAAAAACTAACCTAAAAGATTTATGTGAATGGAATGGTGGAGAGTTGGAGTCTTGGAGCCTTGAATTGAAGGCTTGAAGCAGGATGGTAGAATCTCAACTGAAGCTTCTTGGAGTTCTTGGAGCCTAGCGTCTTCTTCTTGGAGTTGGAGTCTTGTTTGCCCTTTGGCACTGGCTGCGTGCTTTTGCATCAGATGAAGCCTTAGGGCTTCATCTGATGTATTTTTTTTTCCCATCATTATACAAAACGACGTCGTTCCACTAAAAGTGAAACGACGTCGTTTTGTATTTAGAGGGCAAAAAAAAAAAAATTCAAAATGAAATGGGTCATCTTCTTCCTCAGCAGTCAGCAGGGCAGCGGCTTCCCAGCTCTTCTTCACTTCCTCTGCAGCATTCATGGAGCCATGGAGGATGGTAGATCTGGATCACCGTGGGGGGCTGGGCTGGGCTGGGCTGGCCGCCGGAATCCCCTATATATAGGGGGTTTTCCGGCGGCTTGGGGGGGGGGCTTAAGCCCCCACCAGCCCCCCCTTAAATCCGTGGCTGATAGAGAGGCCCACAATGACTTCCTGGCAGTTGCCAGTCTTTTGTAAATTTGTTATGCAAACGTATCTGTAATCCATTACATACATAGGGAATTTGACATTTGACAAAAAAAAAATGTAGTTATAATTGTGCAATAGGAAAGACTAGTGATAGACATGAACTCTGGACTACATTCGACTGTGACCTGACATTTACTGAACCTATAATGAAAGTAAAGACAACCTCAATATCGTCCAGCAAATTTTAACTATCAATCTTAACTCAGGATCCTACTTCAAAATGATGGTGAACTTTAGACCAGATGGTGACTACATACTTCTTAGTATCACTTGCTCGCATAGTTATTTGTGTTCATGAAAAAATGGCCATTCACACTACAGCTACAGATTACTCAAGCCGGCTCGCGAACCAGTTCAAGTAGATTTGAGATCGACATTAACCGAGTTCAAACTAACTTGACGAGTCAGTGAGTCGAACCAGATTGAGCTCTTAATATTTTATATTTTTAGTGATAAAATTACATGTATGTCCCTTATATTTTTATGGTGAACTGTTTATTTTATCTATTTTAAAAATAAAAAATATTGTTTAATTTTTATTTGATTTTGAATAGGCTCAAACTCGAACTAGGCTAAATTTGTGTTCAAGTTCAATCTCAAGTTTTAGAATGAAAACTAATCGTGTTTATGTCTAAAAAAATTGAATCGAGTTCTATTCAATCAGGTCAAAGGTCAAATCAACTTAGCTCGAATGCCAATCTTTAGGTCTAGTACAATCTAAGTTCTTTCTCCAATGCTAATCTTCCCCTTCCCTTCAAAAACTAGTTTATATTCATCATTTTGCAAAACATGTTAGACATGGGGTGAGCATAAATATGCTCAACAAGTAAATCGCACTACAATTATCGATCCGCATAAATTACATATAAGCATAAAAAATTTTGAAAATATATATTTCATGTTTCATATGTACCAAGAACTTGCATAGAATATATGCGATTCATAATACAAAATTTGATTAGCTCATTTAGAGAGTCATGCATTGATTGATTTTTGTGTACATGATGTAGTGGTTAGTCTTGACCGATGAAATAGCACCAATTAAGCGAATAAAGACCCTCACAAATTTATTTAGGTTGTTTTTAATGTGGAAGTAATGGGATCCAGAATTTTATTTAGAGCATTTTTATTGGTCGAAAACTAACTACTAGGGCTTGTTAAGTAATTCATTTGGACAATGATAAAATTTCTCGAACAAACTGAGCAAATGAGTGAATGACGAAAGAGAAAGGTGCCATGTTGGTTCTTTAATCTTTAGGTGTTTGTCTAATAAATAGCCAGTGCAAGATGACTGGTTCAGTAGCGAAGCTAAGATACAGTTTAAAAATGCAATATACATACATATATGTGTATAAAATAAATAATAGTACAATGTTTATGTCTATTTTTTAAACTTATAAAGAGTTTCATGGAATAATAATAATGTTGGAGCAATGATATGATTCTAATTTTTGTTCACCATAAATTTGTAGTTCTTGAGAAATGAATTCAAATGAAAATCATTCTTTTTCTTTGATGTGCCAAAAGTTTTAAGATTCTTATTTTGTTTTCAAATAATACTTAATTTTCATTTTGGATGTCTTCTTTTTTGAAGTAAGCTATAAATGTAATTACTTCATAAATATAGATGGACAATTTAGAAGATAAAAGAAAATATAAGAAATTTTAGAGTGAGCAAATACTAGATAAAGTTAAAATTTTTAAAGTTTTTCAAGCCAATTTTTAGAATTTGTCAAAGTTGAGGTGGAGAATTGCCAGGTCCATAACTCCACCCACTAGAGATGAAAATTTAAGGGGACATAACCAGAGGGGAAATATCAAGTAGGGGTGTTTATTGGCCCATAATTAGTATTTTGGTAAAAAAAAAATATTGGTTTTTTTTTTGGATAATAACATATGTCAATAGTTTGTACATAATGTGGCACAATTGTATATCAATTTTAGATCAAAATCTACCTTTAGAAATGATTGTGTAAATAGATCTCTAGTCACTGTGAATTAAATTGACAACTTCACACCAACTCAATCCTTATCTCAAAATAATAAACAAATAAATAAAAATAATAACTGACTGTTTGTCTGCTTTTTGATGGCTTTTATTCTTTTATTAATTACCTATATATATTTGTAATAATAAAATACACGGGTGAATCACTAGTAAATTATAAAAACATATAGTATAAAGTCTGGAATTAAGAGATCGAATGAAATTTACTATAAATAAATAACAAAGAGAAAAAGGAATATAATTAATTGTTATCAAATGAAGAAGAAACAATTATTTACATAATTTGGCTATTTATTTATTATTAAGCGTGTATACATATGTCAACACTTTATGCATAACTTGGAGCAATTATATGCCAATTTTAGGTCGGAATCTAATCACAAAAATAATTATAAGCTTGTTCTCAATTGATTATAGATTTTGATTAATCAATTTTGAAATATTCTCGCTTACTTGTGTATTTAGATTATAGATTTTTTAATAGAACTAAAAATGTTAAAATCTATGATCATCTAAAAAGTAGTTTTTACTGATCTTGATTATTCTTTATAATTCCTTTTCAAAATTAAATTTTACAAAATCTAAAGCAAACGAAAACAAGCCAGATGTAAATAGATACTGTATATATAAATTGACACTGTCACACCAATTCAATCCTTATCACAGAATTCACACACACAAAAAAAAGGTAAAAAATAATGACAAAAATCTTTTTGAGATACACATCGAAAAATTATAGAGGAAGCCTGCTTCCCCGATCCTTTTTCCAATGTTTCTAAATTTAGACCGAATCGGTTGGTTCGACCGTGAATCGGTCATGTGTCCGATCCGGTTCATAATTTATGTTGACTTGGATCAAAAATCGGTCAAATCCGTTAAAAACCGTTCAAACCATTATACCGGCTCGAACCGTGAACCGCGGTTTTCCAATTTTTGAGTAAAATTTGACAAAATTTCCAATTTTGACCGAAAGTGTCTAAAGACTCTGAACCCTAATCTTCACTTCAGTCTTCCTCTTCACTTCAGTCCGCTTCATCTCTCTGCAATTGCCGAAATTGCCTCGCCTGCCGTAGTCAATTGCCGAAATTGCCTCTTCACTTCAGTCCGCTTCCTCTCTCTGCAATTGCCTTGCCTTGCCTGCCGAGTGCCGAGTGCCGAGTGCCGTCTCTATTTGCCGTCTTTGCAATCAGCAAAAAGGAAGCACCGAAGCCTGAAGTTTTTTGCCATCACACGCTTATTCCGAACTCTCTGGAATTCAAGCTTATACCAGGTTCATTAATCTTTTTTCCCTTTTTTTTTCCTTTCGTTGTTCATTAATCTCTGGAATTATGCTTTGGTTGCTTTGACGATAAGAAGAGCAATTCTTGCATAACAGATTTACAAAGTTCTTTTATTTTCCACTAAATTGCTAATTTCCAAATGTGTAGACATTAAATTTGGGGATTTTTAACTTTTTATACCCTGGATGCAGAATTTCTTTCAAAATGAGAATTTGTTGCCTGAGAGCGAGCTAGAATATTCCGCTGAGGGAGCTAGAATGAAGTTGCTAAACCTTATACAGGGATACCTGTTGGAAAATTCCGTTACTCTCTGCAACTTTGCTCACTTAGTTTTCCTTTATTTTGCAGAGAATAGGACCATATTAGGCTTACGATTCTGACTGAATAAACATATTGTTGGTTTTTCCAAGCTCATATATCCACGCAACGCCCTATTTTGGAATTCCTAAAATGATACATTCTGATGTGTTGTGCTGATTCTTGATGAATAAAGTATGAAGTAGTTATTTTGCCTGTCATATGTTTAACTCCGCTTGACCTGATTGGAATTATGACTCGTCTGGAAATTTAGGATTATAAATGAATTCAAGTACCATTTTGCTACTGAACTACTATGAGCCATCTGAACTTCAACTTCTATTTGTTTTTTGGTGGTGCAAACAAGTGTAGAGTTCCTTTTTCTCCTCCTAATATTAGATCAATAGCTGTCCTGCCTTCAGTAACATGACAGATGAAAATAAACTTCAGCATTAAGGTTGGTTAAGTTCATGGTGCCTCCTTGCACATCAACAACATACAGCATTGGGTATGGCCTGCAATTTTTTTTTCAAAAAGGGTTATCCTTTTTCTGATGTCATTTGAAGCCAACACACCCAAAAACGGATTCAAGTCTTAAACCAAAGAAACATGGGACAGATGGCTATTTGCTTTCTTTTTTAGCTTATCTTTGAGAAAATTGTCAAAAATTCTTTTGAGGACAGACAAGTAAATAGGAGTATTTTCAATACGTGTGTAGATTATCAAGAACAAAACCACAAGCAGAAGATATTTACTTCGGTTGCATTGCAGGAGTAAAAATCACAAACGAATAGTCTTAAGTTTGATAACTATGTTAATTGTGTGTGTGTTAATTGTTGGATATTGCTCTTATGTTAATTGTGGTTTAGCATTTATATCTTATTCTGTGCATAGGTGTGTGTCTATATATATATATATTTATTTATTTATTGAACCGGGGTTGAACCGGTTCGACCGGTTGAATCTCGACCCTTTTACTTCACCGGTTCAATTGACGGTCTGGGTTTTAAAACATTGATTAAAGGGAGAACCGCGGCAGGTGGCTGTGAAAGTCTTTGACGAATTCGCACGTCGTCCTAGCTCGTTCCAGGGCTAGGTCCTACCCCAAGAGGCACCCAGAGTACGGCCTGTGTCGGAGGCGCTCTTGCAGTCGGCTACAAGGAGATGGCCTCTGCTACTTGCTCTCCTTCTTCGTCTTTGTCTCTCAAATCCCTCGTTGGTTCATTTTCTGTTGATCCTATAGATCTTCCTGTAAGTTCCCTGACACTAGAGTTCTTGCTTTTGTTGTCTAAGAACCCTGCCAGCAAGTGGTTTTGGCAGAAAATGGTGGCAAATTTAAAGAAAAACTCTTTGAGGAAAATGATTTGGGGATTGGGATGGTAGAATGGTGGGAAAGAATGATGACTGCATTTAGAATAAAGGGTTTTGCTTTAATCGAATTGAAAAACTCAAAAATGGTGTATAGTGGCATAAAACTGTAATCTTGGAGAATTGGGTTTATCTTTGCTTGCTATCTGCATGCAGTTGGTTTATGTATATATATCCAGGTTGTTTGTTTCTTTTTGGGGTGGCTTGTGGGAAGGTTGATGGAGGCGAAACTTAGGATTAATGGGGGAGGGGTTTTGTTGGTTATGGATTCAATGGAATTAAAGACTCAGAGAAAGTGGTGATGAAAGGCATGAACTTTATGCTTAAACTGGGATAAATTAGTTTCATGCTTATTCAAATTCGTGACTACATATTTTATATCTTGGAGCGTGGACCTAAATACTCGGAAAACAATGAAATATTTTTCTTAGTTGACTAACTTTGTGTGGAAGTATATTCATGTTTCCTACCTTCAGAATAGAAGTTTGGGTTTTTTTTTTTGTTTTAATTTTCATGCATCTCAGTTAAAGTATTTTAAACGTGTCTTCTGCTTGAAACCTATGTTGATTCTCAGGGCATTGGGACTAAACCAGGGAGTTTCAGGTGCAATACGTCTGGTTTTGGGAAGCAAAATCACTCGTTGATTTCCAAGACATTTGCACTGCATTGTGCAAGAGACAAAGACATGGATGTCAGTGCATCAGCTTTTGTTGATGGCATTGCTGACCATTTAACAGGTCTATATTCCCCAACCTTTGTGCCATTTCCAATGTTGCCCATTGTAGTTATATTAATTGCTGATTTGAATTATCATCTGATGGCAGATATAGATGTTAAAGGAGGGGAGCCGAGGGAGCCAAGTGTCTCCACAATGCTGATGAATTTTGCTAACGAATTTGATCCCTACGAAGCCTTGAGCACGCCTTTGTACCAAACAGCAACTTTCAAGCAGGTATTTCTCATGGATGGTTGATGATCAAAGGGGACTCCTTTAAATCAAAGCTATTCTTTTGATAACATTCTCGCTCAAATTTTAGGTTATGCTTGAAGTTTTTCTATTTTACTCGTGTTTTCGTTTTCAACTTCCATCAATCTTTGGACATAATGTTTCCACAACATGGTGAAGGTTGCATGAATCCTGTCCTTTGCAGATCCTGCCATAGTTAGGTCCTTCTGCACTTGATTTGCATTTCATGCTATCGCACATCAGATACCTGCAGATACTAAATCAAGCTTATCATTGACATGTTTCAAGTTGTATATTTCCTCTGAACTTTAATATGTCCTGTTTTGCAGCCTTCAGCAACAGAGTATGGCCCTTATGATTATACAAGGAGTGGAAATCCAACAAGAGATGCTTTAGAAAGGTTCTGACCTCTATTTGATGGATTTTTTATTTGATGTTATTAATGAAATATTCCCTCTTTGCTGTTCCCATAATTTCCTTTGTACACAGACTCTTGGCTAAGCTTGATAAAGCAGATCGAGCCTTGTGCTTTACAAGTGGAATGGCTGCTTTGTCGGCTGTTACCCATCTTGTGGGAACTGGTACTTTCTCTTTCCTCTTTGTATGCTGGTCAGCACATATTTGTATCTTATCAGATGTTTCTGCGCCGAGTGTTCTTTAGCTCTGTAGAATGCAGTTTGTGTATGTTTATATAGCTATGATCAAATGAGTAATGTTTGCCATCCATTTGATTTTTGTTCCATTCTTGTCTTGTAGGTGGTTTTTATGTAGTGGTTAAAGCAAGGAAACATTTCTTTCTTATGTATTTTGCCTTAATTTGAGAATAGGTGAGGAGATTGTTGCTGGAGATGATATGTATGGTGGTTCAGATAGACTGTTGTCGCAAGTAATACCCAAGACAGGAGTTCTGGTTAAGTTAGTATTGCATCTCTTTGGATAGCTTTGTCCATTACAAATTGCAACTAGTTTGATCATCTGGGTTACTGCAGGCGAGTGGATACAGCTAATTTAGATGAGGTTTCTTCTGCAATCATCCCTATGACAAAGCTTGTCTGGATGGAAAGTCCGACAAATCCTCGTCAACAAATTTCTGATATTCGCGTAAGTCATTTTTATGTTGAAATGCCAACTCTTTCTCTACAGTTTTTAGTTTGTCTGTATTATGAGCTTCTGGGGTTAGTATAAATTTTGTCCATGAAAAGAGGGGTCCTGTCTAACAAGCAGTAATCCTTTTTATCTCCTTTTTGACCCTCTTGTTTGCATTACAGAAAATAGCTGAGATGGCTCATGCAAATGGTGCTCTTCTATTGGTTGACAACAGCATTATGTCCCCTGTCTTATCTCAACCCCTTGAACTTGGAGCAGGTACTCATTGCATTTGTTGAGTCTTAGATAAAGGGATACATTGTTGATGGTTTTATCAAATTTCAGATATTGTTATGCACTCTGCAACAAAGTTTATTGCGGGCCACAGTGATCTAATGGCTGGTGTACTAGCAATTAAAGATGAAAGGTTTTCCCTTTTCTGAAGTTCTAATCACTTCCTTTTCTGAAGTTCTAATCACGATGAAAATTGCATTAGGTTCTACATATCTGAGTGGTTATATGTTTGCTGATTGTCATATAGCTTGAAACTTTTTGATGTACATTAACATACCTTGATCCGTTATTAGAATTGGCTTGGAGATTTGTAGGCCGGGATGCACTTAAAGTCTTTGCTTCAGAAGCTTTTATTGATAATCTAGAATCAACTGCATTAATCCAATATGGAAAGTAATTATTCATTCCATGAAACGTATTCAAAATTCCAGCAGGAATTCATAAACAATTATTAGATGAGGGAGGAACCTCTTTTCTTGGTCATCCAGAGATTTTGCATTTATTGTGGAACGTAGTTAACCTAGGACTAGAACTTGGTCAGAGTTAGAATTCAGAATGCATGTAAAGTCTTAGCTTTTGAAGCTTTTGCTTGTACATTATATAATGTGTATAGTTTTTATTTGGTTTTCTTGAAAGAGAAATCTTTAACATAAAAGTCTTAGAAGAGCGGTGAACCTCTGTGCTAACCCTAATTGAAAAGGAGGCAGCCAGTTGGGTCTGCTCTCTCTCTCTCTCTCTCTCTGTATATGTGTTTTCCTGTGTTGGTAGGTTATGCTTGTTTTGACATGGTATGTTGCATATCTCGTGTTCCTTGTCAATAATTGATAAAGTGGTTGTGCATTTCATATTGTCTACTCCAGCTTAGCAAGGAGCTTGTATTTTCTACAAAATGCCGAAGGCTCAGGATTGGCTCCATTTGATTGCTGGCTTTGTTTAAGAGGCATCAAAACCATGGCCTTGCGTGTGGAGAAGCAGCAGGTGCTGCTCATCTATCTGTTTGTGCAGGATTTGATGATATGTTTTGGGCATTCGATGCATGTCACTGTTAGCTTTCCTTTCTGGATTGTTTCTCTACCATCCTTTATTAGCATCTTATGTGTACGTTAAACCATAGTGCTTGTCCAAGCGTATTTATCAAACCTTGAAATTGCTCATACCCACAACTTTGTTTTGAAAAACATTTTCCAAGCATTTCAGTGATAATTTTCTGTAATACCAAGCTGTATATACAATCTGCTAGATATTTGCAAATCTGCTGTTTTGCTGTATTTAGTACTCTTCTAAATGTTGTGCAATGCTATATGGGCTTATGGTCTGTCTTTTGGCCAAGTGGGGAGTTTGAGTGATGATTAAAGCAGTTATATTGTGATAATGGAAATTCATGCTAATCTAAAGGCACTGAGTTTGTTTGGATAAGAGTTTATTTGGATGATTTATTTGAGATAATTACTGTAGCATTTTTTATAATGTGATGTATATGAGATAAAAAAGTGACTGGAAAGATAAAAGTGGTTGAAATTTGTGAAGCAAATTATTTTATCTGAAATCAAGTTAATCCAAACAAACCCAGTACCATTGCGGATTTGCTTTTTGAGAATGGGAAATGATACAAGAAGATCCTTTAGGTGCTTCATTTTTTTGCATCTGTGATTGCCATATTCTCTTTCTGAATATGATGACATTTTAAAGGAAAATCTGCGTGTTTTGCAGGATAATGCACAAAAAATAGCAGAGTTTCTCTCCTCCCACCCAAGGGTGAAGAAGGTTAACTATGCTGGTCTTCCTTCCCATCCTGGACATGCTCTGCACTATTCTCAGGTATTGGCATTTGAGTGGAAAGTTGGAGTCAAGATAAATGAAACTGTTAAATATAAAATCCTAGCCCCATTCTTTTTTGGGTTCCTTTTTTTTTTTTTTTTAAGTAAATCTTTCCTTATATTTACGCCTCCTACAGGCGAGGGGTGCTGGTTCTGTTCTTAGCTTCCTTACAGGCTCACTGGCACTGTCTAAACATGTAGCCGAGACAACCAAGTACTTCAGCATAACTGTCAGTTTTGGTAATATTCTCAATTTTCTTTAAGTTTCTTGCAGTGATGCTAAAATTTTATTTTCCTTTGGGTAATGGTTATGTGCTATATACAATATGTATTAGTTGTATGGTCCAACTGAATTGCAAGATTTGTTGCTGCTTGAGTGATTGATGCTTAAATCAGTAGAAATATTTTTGTTTATAGAGATCATTTGCAGTATTATCTGATAGTTAAATTAACCATAGTGCAAGCCAAATGCATCTTGTGCCCGGCATGGCAGGGTTCTAAATGGGATAAGGCATAACGGTGGTGACTTGAATGACCCCCATGTTACGGACGCACATGTGAATGACAAGTTAACTATCTAACAGTTGTAAAATTGCTTTATGGGGACCAGAAAAGAAAATGAAAAAGTTTTTTTTTTTTTTTGGGATGGTTTTACAAAATGTGTTTTTTTTTTTTGGGTAAGATAAGAGGCTATTGTGTACCTTGTTTTGTCATTGACATTTCTTTTCATTATTTGACAGGAAGTGTCAAGTCTCTCATCAGCTTGCCTTGCTTTATGTCCCATGCAAGCATTCCTGCAGCAGTACGTGAAGCCAGGGGTTTAACTGAGGATCTTGTTCGAATTTCTGTTGGAATTGAAGATGAAAATGATTTGATTGCTGATCTAGACACTGCGCTGAGGACAGGTCCCGAGTAACTCAACTGCTGCAGGATTCAGAGGGCCACCCCGGTTACCATTGTACAATAATGTTGATGATGAACAATTTCAGGGATTTGCCTCAAGACCTTCCTTGCTTAATATTAGCATATATTGTTAGGCATGAAACATTTGAGATCAAAGATCTCTCCCATTCAAGATAGACATCTTTCATCATGGCTCCAAAGCAAGCAAAATTTCCTACCTCAGTGGTCAGTCTCTCGTTTGAGGACTTGTGGAGCTAAGTTGATGGATTAGGTTCTGTCACAACGATTAGATTCAGTGATCTGTTGATGGATGAAAATAATTAATGGTAATTCTGCTTGATGGATGAAAATAATTAAAGGTCATCATATTAACAGAAGCTTTGACGTGGGTGCGGTCGACTCGAAAAAGCCTCTAATCTAAACTTTTTCCCTGCCATATTTTCACTAAAAAAAAATACCAATCAGCTTTCAGCTTTTCTATATAAGATAAAATACCAAATCGTTATCAAAACAGTCTTACCATTTACAAGCATTACCAGCAAAACCCAATTTTCTATCAAAGATGTCCACAACACTAACAAAAAAAAGCAACTCCAGCTTTTCTGAGCAGCAGCAAACGACTTTTCATCTGCAAATCAGCACATTATTCCCCCAGCGTGCACGAATAACTACTTCAAAATTCTGAATAACTTCACTTGCAAAAACTATGTACAAAAACTTCTATCCTATGGAGCAATTGAGCCTACAAGAAAAAAGAGAGGAAGAAGAAAGGTTATACTATTGTGGTAAAGGAGAAAACAAAGACCAGCAGTAAAAGGTACAAGGAGCAAAAACTAGAAAAAGCCTTCCAGGAACTCAACCACTCACAGAGATTATTGCAGTGGTTTATACTCTATAGACCTATAAAAGTTATTTTACAAACAGTCACGTAAAAATTACGGAAATAACATGTTACAGGTTAGAAAATAGTGCCATGCAACTTATTTGATCAATCGCATTCAAAACCTTCATAACCGAAGCTGTCTGACATGGTGTCTATCCCGTAGTTGGTGTTGACAGTCAAAATATTTTCAAGGCATTACCAGGCATCTCAAACAGAAAAAGCTCGCCGAGGATCTCACCTTGATGTTCTCCCCTACCACGAGGATCCTGGAAGCTGTTGGGATCTGCTGCAAGGAAGGGTGACCTGGAGTAGCTCTCTAATATAATATCTAAAAAGAATAGATCATTGAAGTTATAAGGACGTTTAAAACATTTTTAAAAGGAGTATAGATATCCAAAAGAAGCTTCATACTGAAAGTTCATGCACAAGGGCACTTGAAGAAAACACAATCAAGAAACCATACACAGACATGAGAGAGAGAGAGAGAGAGAGAGAGAGAGAGAGAGAGAGAGCAAACCAGAGCTATTAGAGAAGTCAGCTGTCAGGTCTGATAGACTGAAGTTCCGCGGAATCTGCCCCAAGAACCCAAAAGGAGTAGTTTCTGGATCCAAGATTGCCCTGTTTAGTGGTTGTGCATTGGATTCTGTATTATTGTAAGATGAAAGAGAAACATCTCCAACTGCAGGACGGGGCTCCAAGACATTGCCATTAGGACCAAACATAAAGGGGGTATTTCCTGCATAGCCGGCTTCTGATTTGATTACCCCACCATTCATCCCTTGCATAATACCAACATTTGAGTTCTGGGCCAAAAGCATATTTGGTGGTATGTCAATCCTTTGGGCATGGGCCGAAAAGTCAATGGTGGTTGTAATACCTTGTGGTAACGAGGATGCACCATTATCATATGTATGACGCAAACTCGTACTCACATCTTGGTGCATTGTTTCTGTCTTACAGATGCCAACAGTATGTTCGGGTGCAGGGCACACCGTATTGTGGTTCACTGTCCAAATTATAGTACCAACTATTAGTCAAACTACAACCGTATAGGCACAGTTATCAACTGTCAGCTCACAATGTGCAAATTCTGTAAATAATTAATAAGAAACATGTTAATAAAAAACATTAACAAACAGGAGGAGGATATATTGATAAGATCAATACAAATAATTACCAACCATGAGACTACATCCATAAAATAAAAGGCCTATCTCCGTAGATTCATTAACTTGTCTCGAATGCATCAGAAAATAGACGTGCAACAATAGGAATACCAGAAAGTCCCCACTTGACACACTCTAACACAGGTTAAAGTGAAATTAAAATGTCAAAAATGAAAATCTTTCTTACTTGACGGAATCTGAGAGCCATTAGACATGGGAATCGAAGCAATTCCCGTTGGACATATCTGACTCATTAGCTCCACCTGTCTTTCCAGCAACTCATTAAATCTTGATATTTGATCCTTCACTATCAACCTCAGATGATACGCCCTAAAAAATTCCTGGTTTTCTTCTTCAAGCTTTTGCCACACTGGAAGAAAGCCTTGATGTTATATGCATCACAACAGTTAACCAAAAAACAAAAAAAGAAGAAGAAGCACAACTATGGCAAGCTGAATAGGCAATCAAATTAGCTTTGGCATTCATTATAATTTATGCAAATTAGTGGAGCTCCATAAACATCACTTGTCATACCACTTAACTTGTATTGCTTCTTATTGAACTAAGCAAAAGGTCATCGATACATACAATACCAAATATGACAGCCAAGCTCAGGAAATCTTATGTTTGTGAACTCAGAAATACATATCGTATTAAATGGAGGGCAATCTCAGATATAGGCTTGAATTTTGGCCCCTCTTCCTGAGGGAGTGATTCAAATTAACCACATGATGGCGACTGTAATATCTATTTTTTAAAATCTGTATAAAAAGCCTTCTACAACATCAGGTCAGCATCCCTGCTGGAAATGCCTTATGAAATCAACTTTAGCTAGAGAGCAATTCTTGTACATTTTGTGTTGCCAAAGTTCCTTTTAGGAAGAACTTTCTTTTTGCCTTAATCAAATAGAAGAACCAGTATGAGGCTTAAGCAGACTCCAAAATCTGCATCTTCACTCAGGAAGAAAATTTCTATCTGCAACTGCATGCATAGATTTTTCTAGATAACTAAACATATAAACTGGATTAGAATTCTAATTGAGCTTATTATACCAAATTCCCAGACTTTCTAAATAAAATATTACAGGCTCCGTTCGGTACAACAATTAAAAAATATATCACTAACTTTGATCTTAAAAGAACCAGATTTTCCAAATACCAAAACTTAATTTGCACATGCTACAGAAAAATCATTAATTTTCTTCCCTTGCATATCAATGTTTCCAATTGTGCCAAAAAAAAAAAAAAAAAAAGATTACGAAGTAACCACTTCGCTAAATTGCCCACCAGAACCTCAAGAAAAAAGCAAAACAATGAAAAGTTTCTCAGAAAATCTGCATTCGAATTATTAACTCCATCAATCCAAAGACTGAGCAACTATAAGATCACAATCTGGAGGAAACTAAAATTCATGGTAACAGTTTTTGTTCAGAAGCAAGACACCATCACTAATCTAACATAACTTTGACATTTATAATTTTGCAAGGTTCAGAACTAAAATTTTTTGTCCAGATTGAGCACACAGACCAACAACATGACATAAGTACTAAGGGTGGCAATTGGGCAGGTCAATATTGGGTTTTAATCAAGTGGGTCATAACCCAAGCCACCAACTATGAAGTGGGTTAATCTTGGGTTGGGTCTAGTTGGGTCAACACAAAACCCATAGACCCAACTATGACCCACCATACATTACTATGCACTGTCAACATTCACACTGTTACATTCATAAACACATCATTTAACACACGTTCGCTTGGAAAAAATACCTGCACTCTGTCCGACACAGTTTACTACTCACACACACACACACACACAGAGACCAGATTTTCACATTTCATTCATCTGTAAAGCCTTTTGTATTGCATTTGATCCATCCATTAATATGGGGGCTAGCAATTCTGGTTTGACGAAAAATAATTTACTGAATTACCTTGGCTTTACCACTTTTCCTGTTTCCACAAATGGAAAAAGAAAAGAAGAAAACAAACAAATCGGAAAAAGTCAGAGAGTTTCAAGAGAGAAGTAGCTACTTGCATATGGAAGAAGCCAAGTAAGTAGAGAAAGAGTCAATGGTAGCCAGAATTTGATCTAAAGAGACTGCAATAAACATGGATCAGGAAATGGTGGTTCAGGTGTATGGTACTTTGGAATTTGTTTTAGTATTTCGTTTGCCTCTGACAAAAGGCTCCTGAAACCCGAATCAGCTTGGCAATGGCAATTGGTGTGTGATTTTTTATTTGCTCTTATGAATACTTGGATTTTATATTTGACTTATTTGGCTGCCCAATTAAAAATCCAACCCACTTGGAAAAGATTTGGGTTTCTTATACCCAAAACCCATAACCCAACTGACCCAACCTTCTGTATTTGCAGGTGGCTTGGGCAGGTTGTTGGGTTCAGGTTTAATTTGCCAGCCATAAGACTCCGGAACACTGCCATCAAGCTTCCCTTCCCAAAACCTGCCCTACAGATGAAAACCTACATGTCATAAATGATAGAAATAATGGCTAACAACAAACTGCGTCCAAGGAAATTACATTTTGACTGCACATTTTAGCAAAACACCCTTCCAAAGGCCTGAAACAAGCAGGACTTAAAGCTTGAACAAGACCTCACTCTTTTCCTTGAGAATAGTATATTCTGATTCTACAACCCCCCCAACCCCAAAAAAAAAAAAAAGAGCAACCCCTTTCTTCCCCCTTTATGTCTGATAACAGAGTTGAAAATGACTTGGAAAACAGTATATTCATCTTATGCAAGGGCAAAAATAAAAGCTCGTATCTCACCAAAGGATGCCAAGTCTCAAGCAAAAGTGGCATGGCATTAAAACCTTTCAAATACTCTCATGTTTTTAATCCTTCTATTTGTTCTTTTTCTGTTAGCATCTTTATTCCTTCTTTGAATTATGGAACTTGTCCATGACAAAAGAAGTCCCTCCAATATGAGGAAACATTTGCTCACACAACCACTAGCATTACGAAGATACACATTGATTTCAGATGGGTGCATCCCACCATCTTAGCTATTGTAAGAATAAATCACGTTAACTAAACCATGAAAAAAAAAGGAACTTATTAAAAATCAAATCAAAACCAGAACCTCCTAGAGCTGACCATCAAGTGTTCCTATTTTAAATTTTGTACAGGTTAATTTTCAGTTTGTCTTATAATGTAGCACAGAACTCCTTCCCCTAAGATATGCTTCTTAGACAGATTAAATTTTCCGGGCACAACAAAAGGATAGTGGAGATAATAAATTTGAAACTCAACAGGCATCAAAATAGGCAATATGCATATTCAGCA